TGACTTACTTCCATTTTTCTAAGTCTGATCCAGCAACATCTTGATAGTATAGGATCTTCTTCATCTGAATCTCCAAGACTGATATGAATATGTAGGCAAGGATCTCAGAGTATGGGGAGAAGTCATATTTTTGTGGAGGTCTTGACATTCTCTTTTCTCTATCCCTAGTCAGAAAGTAGTCATGTTGTTGGGATTGCTCTAAGTTGTTGTGGCTTGTCACCTCTTGTTCGTTGTTGCCTTCCTCCTGATCAATATGATCGTTTGATTCAATGACCTGATTTGGAGCTTGCATGTCTTGGTCTTCATGATCACTCAAGGTGCTTTGATCTTGGGCTTGTGGAGAAGTGAATAATATTTTTTAAGGTTTTTGCAGGGTTAGGTAAACTCACAACACTAGATTTTGAATCAGTCCATGATTGACAAGGCAATAGAGCGTCATTAAATATCACGACTCTACTATTGATAATTTTGAAACCGTTATCTTCCCTTATCCATAGCTGATATCCCTTGGTACCTTGTGAATAACCAAGGAACACGCATTTGATGGCTCTTGGTTCCAATCTTCCTTGACTTTGATGAACATAGTCAAAGCATCCAAACACTCTCAAGTGATTGAGATCGGGTGGCCTTGAACTCCATTTTTCTTTTGGTGTTTTGAATTCAATGGCACTTGAAGACATCTGTTCACAATATATGACGTTGTGATCATTGATTCACACCAAAAAGCCTTAGCTAGCCCTGAATTGAATAGCATGTTTCTGTCTTGTTTAGTAATGACATGTTCATTTTCTCGGCAATTTTGTTTTGATGAGGGGTTAATTTCACGGTTTTATGACTTTGAATACCCTCATTGGCACAAAATTGATCAACCTCAGCATTACTAAACTCAAGATCATTATTTGTTTTTAAAGTCTTAATCTTTTTATTAGCCAGAATCTCAACCAGAATTTTCCATTCTTTAAATTTTTCAAAAGCTTGATATTTGTGTTTCAACAAATACTTACAAACTTTTCTAGAAAAGTCATCAATGATAGAAAAGAAATAGAAGTAACCTCCATGTGTTGCTGTCCTTGAGTATCTCCACAAATGTGAATGAATGTACTCAAAAACTTGTGTAGACATGTGCTTTTTGGTTGGAAATTTCTGCTTGTGTTGCTTTGCCAAAATGCAATGCTCGTAGAATTCAAGTTTGTTGACTTTGTACTTTCCTAGCATATTCTAGTTGCTCATCAGTTGTAGACCCTTCTCACTCATATGGCCGAGCCTTCTGTGCCAAAGTGTAGTTTTGATTTCGTTTTGGGTTGTGGCAACTAATCCAACTCCATGGAGAATCTCTCCGATGAGATAATAGAGACCGGCTATCTTGATGCACTTCAAAATAGTAGCACCTTTTGCAATATACATAGAGTCTTGCTCTATCTTGTTAGTTTCTTGTCATCAAAAATATCAATAGAGATCAGGTTTTTAGACAATTCACGTATCCATCTAACATTTTCAAGATTTTTCAAAACATCATCAACCATCTTAATGCTAATTGATACTTTACGTGCAACTGAATAGATCGATTGTTATTTATTATTACCTTCCCTTCATTGAGCTCTTAGACAGCAAATGCTTGTTGTGTGTCATATGATAGGTGCAACCAGAGTGAAGTATCCAATCCAAGGCCTTAAGCTTTTCTAATGCCATGAGAACTTACCCATCGTTGTACCCATCATTAAATTTTGCTAAATCTTGGTGACCTTGTGATGTGCTAGCCTTTATTCTCCTTGTTTTCCTTAATCCATGAGTAACAATCTTTCTTGATATGTGACATCTTGTTGCAATAGAAGCATTTCTTGTCATCATTGGAGTTGGCGATCCGATTGTTGATCTTTGTAGATAATTTGTCGTGATTCTTGGTCTTCAAGTTGCTTCCATCTCTATTCTTGCGCTGTTGTTTGTCACCAACCATGTGATTTTTGACATCACTAGAGTACTTCTTGTCTACTCTGATTTCCAAATCTTTGGATTTGAGTGCGAATATCATTTCATCTAGTATGATCGATGAACTCCCGTACTTGATTGCCAAATTTAGCACCATGTATGACTCTAGAAGAAAATTGAGATTAATGAATGATTGTCTTGTTCTCGTCGCTGAACTCTTCCTTGTCGCCGGAATTTGCGAGCTCAATGGTCATCTTTAAGAACTCGTCTAAATTGGCTTCCAATGACTTTGCCTTGTCCATCGTGAATCCAAAAAGCCCTCCTTCATGTAGATCTTGTTGGAGAAAGAGCGAGATTGAAACATCTACTCAAGCTTCATCCACACCTTTGATGATATGTATTATTTGTAAATAAGAAGTATAACTGAATCAGACAGGTATCCATAGTCATTTCAAACATTTTTTCTCTTTGATCTTTAGGAATGTCTTCATGCCAAAGCACTGGGTCGGAGACGATCCTTAGCAATCTTTGTTGGGTGAGGAGCGCTAAGATTTTTTGACACTAGATGCCAAAATTTCCAATGCCATCAAATTTCTCTATGTCGATTTTCATGGCCGTCGAAGGATTCCAAAAATTAAGATTTGATATGCTTCGTTGAGACAAATTCGAATTGGTGCTTTGCTGTGAAAGGTCATCGCTCCTTTTTGGCTCGCAGGTGCGTCCAGCAAGGCGACTCGATGCTTCCAAATCCGCCAGGATGAAGTGAACGGAACAGACAGATGCAACGAAGCTCTGAATTCAAGATCAATGCTCCGATACTATTGTAGGGATTTGATTCCCAGTAACCAACTGAAAAATTACACTCCACACACACAAACGAACACAAGAATGTGTTGACGAGGTTCAGCTTGAAAGCCTAGTTCCCGCAAACGCCTCAATGAGGGTAGTTCGAGTATATACCCAAGATCAGTCTCGTCAGACTTGACCTTCATACCGTCATCACAAGATTTCTGTCCGTGAGAATTACACACAAAAATAATCACTCCTGTTTCCGAGCAAGTCTAACACTTCCTCACATATGATTCTCTCTCTCACAAGATTTCTGTCCGTGAGAATTACACACAAAAATAATCACTCCTGTTTCCGAGCAAGTCTAACACTTCCTCACATATGATTCTCTCTCTCACAAGATTTCTGTCCGTGAGAATTACACACAAAAATAATCACTCCTGTTTTCCGAGCAAGACTAACACTTCCTCACATATGATTCTCTCTCTCAATGTGTCTTATTCTCACTCTTGACCATTCTTGAAATCCCCTCACTATTCTGTTTTCCCTTAATCCGCTGACTGACTTTATATAATCTTGATTTATAACTGTACCTTATAAAGTTAAAATATCAGAATGAATCAAAGCCTTCAACTCCTACACAATCAATAGGATATTGACTCATCAGCAAGCTATTACTAGATAATAAAAATAACCCCCAAAAAAACTCTAAAAGAGAAGAGACATGGAGGCTAATATCTCAGAGTTATCTCCACCATTACTCATCGATGAGTTCATGTAATAAAACCTTGAGACACTTGGTTATCTCCATCATTGGCTGGATGAGTTCACACGTTGACAACATCCCAGCACGGCAAGACATGTACATATGCATCTACATTGACATTTTATAAACAGCAACCATACCAAGTTATAAGCATTTTGGTTATCCTCTTTACTTTAGTTCAAACCGAATGTGTGATACATGTAAGTATAGTGATTGCTAACATGTATCACACATACTGTATATGTGATACATGTATGTGACATACACGTTTGCGACCAAATCCATTCCATATCCAAAGATAAAATAAAAAATTGAAGCCACATGCTTATTACAACCGATGGGAAGACCTAACAAGGAACAAATAACAACCATAGACAGTGCTAGGGCCCCATTCCATAATAGTGTTTACTTTTCACTGGTTTGAGTGTATGGAACATCAAACCTTCTTCGATTGATTTGGAAAACTTGTAGGGTGTTAACCTTGCAGGTCTTGCGTTCTTGCACTTCCTTGGCTTGTAATGCATTCCTCCACCCCACGTACTTTCAGACGTCATTGCTTTCCACTCAAAGCCTCTTGCGCAATTTTCGAACGGACTGCTTGTGAGTGTTTCGATCTGAAACGGCCGGAAGGTTTCTACAAATAGAGGAATTTTGGCTCAAATTATTCCAGTTCAGATGTCTCTCATAATATGAATAACCCTCCCGAGTCTAGATCAAGCTATGCGCTAGGATTGGGGTCGCGTCCAGGGTTCTATGGTAGTCTCTCCTCTGTGACAGGACATGGACATTTGGCCTACTTGGAGGCTTTTACTACGACAGACTTTACACCACAGCTGCTTCCACATGACGGACGCCGACCTGAATCATGACTCATACCGTATGACTCATACGGTATGAGTCATGAGTGGAGGACAGTTGTGTCTGTGTATTACAGATGGTCCCGCAGTTGTATTACTGTAATTCCGTGATCTGCTCAATTGCCAATGCGGTGTCCGACACAATAAAGCATACTGGAACTGAAACCTCGACGATTGATTATATAACTAGAGCCGACTCGATTGCTTGCAGAGTTTACGGTAAGATAGTGGAAAGGCAAGACATGGACAACTTACAAGACTAGACCAACTAAACAAACTTCAAATGGTTCACTATTTAATCATTAGCTTTCGCTGTCTGATATTTTACGCTGATGGACGCACCCTAGAGTCGACGGCCACGGTACAATTTTACGTACGGGCGAAGCGGGTATGCTCTTCTTTTTGTAAACTTCTGGCTGCAGCTTATGGTTGGAAAAGAACGTTGACCAGTAAAAATGGTAGACCAGAAACAAATTCATGTTACAAGCGACGTTGAAGAAGGTGAAGAAAGAGATACTAGCCATTGTGTCAAAAAAGTTTTCAGGTATGAGCGGAGGGTGCATGATGGAGATAGTGGACAGCATAAAGAATAATGGATTTGTCGCTCATGTCACAATGCTTAAATATGTACTTGATGCTTGCATGACCAAAGTGAAGGATATGAAAGCAATGGCTGCCTGGGCCTTTGTTAAACGAATGAAGAGAGACAACGGGAATAAATAATTATCAGGTCAAGATTCCAAGGTGCACTTACAAAACCATGGCTTGACGTCTGCAACCTAAGATGGCTCTTGTCGTTCCAAAAGACAGGCATGTAAGTCTGATACTGACTAGCTTACAAGGAACCAAGTCTACTATTCTAAACTAAGATCGTAAGTAAGATGGAAGGATGAATGAATTTATACCCTCTTGCTGCGTCTGTTTCTCCTAAGCTCTACGGTAAATGAAAAATGATAAAGAATCGTAGAAGGGATGAGGACCCCGATCGTTCATAAACTCTTCAAAATCCAAACAACGCCGACACCCATTGATCCATCCATCTATTAGATCACAGATTTACATAAGATGATGGTGGTACCCGCTCCTTTACCCACCATTTCTTCACTGATCTAATTGTTTTAGAGGCTCGGCTTCTGGGTCAAGCACCTTATCATCATCCCAGCTGTCCTGTGATACTTCTGCAAACATCACACCCTGTTACTAGCAGCACGACACGACACGTCACTACCTTTTAAAAATATTCCACACCACTTTCCAGCTTTTCAGTCTTTTCTTGTAAAACTCGACTGTTCAGAAAAAGCGACACTTTTGAAATTTGTACTTGGTTGGCAAAGAAGTTACCCTTGGGACTTCAGGCAAGCCCACATTTCAAAGACACATATCAACTGATTGCTCTGACTCCTCATCGGCCGCAAGCAGCTGAATCACAGGAGACCGTGTTGACAACCACTAGATGTATCTCAGAGACACAAATGATGGACACTTCAGACCTTGTTCACGGGGGCCACAACTAAGAGTCCGTCTCATCACAGAACTCCACCATGTTTCCACCAGAGAAGACCGTAGAACTTAATTACTACGTAAGACATCTAGTTAAACGTGTACGGCCCTGCGCAATACCAGCCTTATGCCTATGAGTGCTACTGGTCTGCGTCAAAAATCTCTGATGAGGATAACTTAAGCCAATGCTCCAGTCCTTTGACTCCCATCACTCAGCAACTGTGAAGAATATAACTTCCACCATCCGTGATACCAATGCCAAAGCCGAAAGAAAATGGGAGTTCAGGAAAGATAGAAAGGAGCCAGGATGAAGGGTGGGTAGAGATAAAGAGCCATTCTCTGTCTGGAATCAACTTTGTTTTCGAAACAAAGAAGGGCCCTCGGCTTCCCGTGGTGCACTATGAAGAAAGATCAAGCAGTCTGATACAGAAACAGTGCCTTTCTCCAATATGCTTGTCCAAACAATTAGACTTTCCCACCTAATATACCAATATGACCATGAATGGCGCGTGGAAGTCCGACAACGAGTGGGCGGGTAAATGAAGACCGAAGTGCTGGAAGGGATCTTGAATGAACAAGGATCTGCTTACGGGCGGTAGGGCGAAAAAGGCAGTTACGGTGGGTTTGGGTCCCTTTAGGTGCGGACTTTGAACGACTGGGGTTGGAATCTGCAGAGTCCTCCTCATTAGAAAGAGAGGCCTTGTTGAGGAGGACATTAGAAGTTGAGGTAAAGGTATTGGAATGATCGCCTACATGTAGGGAAGCTGGATAGAATGAAGCTGAAAATGGTCAGATGATACTCTTGACTAAAATCAGCCTCTCGGAAAAATGAATAACCGACTGTGAGGTCTAGACGAAAGCTGTCTCAAAGTAGATACTTTGTAAAACTCATATGCTAGAATCAACAATTAAGTGGTGATATTTTTAATTGCACAAAGATGTTGAAATACAATCCAATCAATCGGAATATCGTGGCATATACGTACTCAATCTCTGCTGCTTCTCGACAACAACCATAAGCCTTCGTTGAAGAACAGCGGCCATACCCAGAAAAATCGAACACATCCCAAACATTACTGAAATTGGGAAAGCACTAACCTGCAAGACGTATGATAAACGGAACAGGTTAGTGCACATGTTGCGCTGACACGACTATTAAAAGACCTATGAACAAAAACCTGAGATTTCAAACATCTTTGAAACGCAAAAAGTAACTCCGCCACTAAACCTTTTCGCGACTTACATTGGCTAGCACGATGCACACGAAGATATTGAGAGGGATCCGGAAAAAGTTCATGATGGTACTCCGCGACTCTTCAGGAATGTAAATTGATCTCATCTTCATAATTGATGGCCAAAAAATACCAACACAAGCCTCAAATATGCAGAATCCCAACAGCAGGAGGCGTCCCGATAAAGTCATATCAGTAGAGTCCGTGGCAGCTTCATTTACGAAAAACTGTAAAGAACACCAGGACAATGTCAGCATAACCGGTTACAACCTAGGAGGAAAAAATATCGTTATGCTGCTCACTGATATTAATAACTTCACGGCTAGATATTTCGTAACATAACTGCTTCGATGCAGCATGTTAATTTGTTGAACAGACAACTGCTCAGCACAAATTTTTCCCGAACAAATATATGAGGATTCTGTTCATTAATCGATGGATTCAGCCAGGATCACTCTGACAGAACACAGAGTCAGTCAGGAATAGATAAGGCCATCTTACATTGATAATGACGGGTAGCATGAGCGAGCCTGAAGAAACCATGAATACAATTTGCATGTAGCCTTCCACCTTGAGTCGAGCCATCAAGCGGGATGCTAGGGAACTCCCCAACATTGAGGACAACATAAAGGTAGCAAAGATGAATCCGTGTGGAATGATTTCTTTCCCAGGAGCTAAAGCAGGCGTCCACAGAAAGACAAAGGTGTACATTGAACCCTCGAAAAGAGACTGAATTGCTCCCAGCAGTGCAATCTTCTCATCTACGGTTACATCCAACACACTTAGATTAGATCAACGCCAGCATGTGAGTAGAGGGATCTAGGGGAAAAACCTAGAATCCTTAGAAACCCGTGTCGAAACGCGCCGCATAAAAAACAGTACTCAGATATCTATATATTACAACACAAAACGTATATTACACGTGAAACGTATATTACAGCACCACACACTGAAAGAAATTTAGAATAGAAATTGGCACATAATTTCATCAACATGCATTCCTCCATTTTTATGTTCCTTTTGAAAACTCCATAGTGTACCTGAAGCAATCGCAGCAGCTGCAGTTTGGAACTGCACAACTAAGTTCTTGCTGTCGGTGGCATCACCATAGTTTTCCTGCCAGCTGAACATGATGATGCCCATCCCAATCGCTAATAGCACTGCTGCGGCATCGAAAGGTGCAACTGGGCCAAACCCCAGAGTCCCAGCCAAGGTGTTTCCTACTAGACCGGCTAGGATAGCTGTGAGACCGTTTCCAAGAAAAATCGCCTTCGAAAATGTCAAAGACAACCATTGTGCCTCAAAACCCCTCTGCTCAAACCCCACACATGTGCAGATTATCAAAACGTCAGGCATAGAAACAGTTCATGTTTCCTGCAAACGGAAGTATACACTGGGTGTCCAGGAGAGCATTAACCAAGAAACACTCGATACTGTACCTTGAAGTGCTCAGCCACTAGCCAGGATTCGAACGCAGAAAAAAGAAGGGATGTGGCAATCCCTCCTAATACACGCCCTACCATAAGAATCTCATACTTGGGAGAATGTTTGGTAAAACAACTAAGGATGTACGTGATGCAGTATAATATGCTTGCCCTCTTGCGACCACTGCAGGAAGAGAGGGCTGATTAGGACATTAAGAAAAACATCAACAAATCCACATACATTCGCTGCCTTTGAAACGGAAATAATGAAAGATAATTACTGGAGTTCAGATCATGATAATTATACAGCTGTGAGTATCGGAATTTGCGGCGGCAAGTTACACTCACTGTTTATCAGCGAGAGAGCCCACGATCGTACCGAACAGCATTGAGGATCCAAACCCGGCAATGAATAGTCGACCGATCTCGCCCTCGTCGTAGCCATAGTGCTGGTACAAAGCATACACATATGGTCCTTGAAGCCAATCTCCCGCTACAAGACCAAAGGATTGTCAGTAAAACCGAAGTCCAAATCTTTCTCTTTGAGAACACTAACACCTGGATCTACAGTCCCCAAAGCAATGAATTATTCAATTGGAAAAAGAAAGAAAAAAAAACCTAAAAGTCAGGCGCAAACTGCAGTAAACGCAATTGTAAGTATCAACATCGTCACGATTCAAGCATAATAAGCAGGCCATATATACTGTCGTGAGCTTTCCAGCACCATTCGACCGTGATACTCTAAGTCAGACATGTAAGACAATGAAGACACCAGGTCAGGGCTCAGATCAATTTACTCTTCAGAATAAGAATAGTGAAATTCGGTCTACTCTCGGCTTCTTATCTTATGACATAACTTGAGAGAAAGAATAGTTTTCAGGGTTCAACTTGTTCCAGAACCCAAAGATATGCAAAATACAAAATGTCCTTAAGGTTTTCGAGAATGCAGACATCTAAAACTCCAAGAACCTACTCGGGCAGTGTGACTAAAGAAATGGATCACTAACTTTACAACGCTAACATTCACCGCGGCAACTCGGCAAAAGCTCTCTAGACACATCACTGCACCACTTTCACAACAATACAAAACCGGGATTGATATAAGCCGAAGGTATCAGGAGCAGACAATGCTGAACGCATCCAAGAGGAAAGGATGAACCATGTGAGATATGTGCTTTTGAAGGCCCACGCATGTATGAAACAATGAACGTTATTATCCTCGTTCCCAATGCTGCTGAGAAACCGGATGGTCAGGCCATCGCTCGGTCCCCAGGCCCGAAATAATGTGAGTTTCCACGCTGGCCATACTGACAGGAACCAATTTCCAGGGCTTTGCCACGACCGGCAGCTGACACAGGCGCTTCTTTTCTTTTTTCACTACTAACTCACACCTCGTTTCGTAATCGTGAACGCCAAATGTACGACGCTAACTCCATAACTATGCCCTATGGAACTCATTTTACCCATAGCCATTCTGCACTGGGTCCGGGATCGCCGAGACGACGTTGGGCGGAGAAGGTGATCACGATCTGAGCTGGCAATACAAGGAAAGGATCCATACCCATCATAAGGGAGTAAACAACCAAGTAGTTGTTTTTGAAAGATGAAAATGCCGACGAGGTTGTGATGCGATCCTTGCTGCCCTTGCCAAGCTCCATGACTGCCAGCACCGCAACCTGCACCCCGAAAACCACATAGTAGAAGGACTCCATGGCTCCTTGCAGCTTGCAGTCGAACGCGCACTATCTTCCTTCCTTCCCACCCTCGAGGCAATGCTGCACTCGCACTGTCCAGCAATCTGCCTCCGCTCGCACCTTCTGCTAGCTAGCGAGAAAGCTAGCCCTCGGGAAACATGTCCTCCTCATTCAAGTACAAGCTTCCTAGCAAGCTCAAACTGCTCCCTCTCCGCTTCCTCGCTACCACAAAGACAGAGAGCAGACAGACAGACCCGCACAAGACACCGAGAGTGAGAGCGAGCAATCGCCCTGGATCTCGCGGGACCTTTACAGGAGTGCGGTAATTTCAGCTCTCATTAAGCAGTAACAGGTATCCCGTGTGCCAGTCTAAGACGAACCAAGAACGCCAAATGAGGCAGCAGGCAGGAGCGTTAGAAACACGGTTGACAATTTTTTCCCCTTCCTTTCCTCTCGCCAAGCAGCCCAACCGAACCGAACCAAACCAAACCAAACAAACAAACAAGAAGCACCCCTCGCCCTGCAGCAAACCAGTGCGGAGCAACGCATCAAAGCTAGCACTTGCGGCCCATCATCTTCCCACTTTAGAGTTAAAGGGCAACAACCACACACCACCTAAATTTGGACCCCAAGATAGATTTCATCGATCGCTGTTCTGTCTCCAGTTTAGCACTTTCTGTCTCTTGTCCCCTCGCCGCTCGTCCAGTATTCAACTCCCTCGCTCAATCAACGCCCCATCTCAGCCAGTAACTGTACGAGCACTGGGCCCGTGGCAGTCATTGGTAAGAAGGCACTGACGTGATCCTCTGAAGGCGTTCCCCTCCGGTCTTCTACGACCTCCGTAGTCAGTACAGCTCCAACCCCACTCTTCCTCCTCCTCCTCCTCCTCCTCGGCTGCTGCTATTCCTTCTCGTTCGTAGCTTTCCAACCCTACCCTGCCAAATGCCTGCCATCTGGCTTTCTCTCATCGTCCACCAAGTCGCTGCCTGCGTAAAAGCGCTTTCTCCCGGCTCGACCCCTGCCCTCGCTCTGACACCACCATCCCCACCGAGAAGACAAAACTATCCTGAACTCTCGCGCTCCCGAACCACAATCACATGGACCCGGCGTGCTCGCGGCCTCCTCCTTCAGCGCCTCGCCCCTTTTCTCTCGACACGGACCCGAATCAATGTGGCAATCACGCTCTTCGTCCTCGCCACCTTCCCTCCGTCCGTTCCAGCCTATCATTGCTCTTTCTTTATTGCTGTATCCGACCTGACTCAGCTCGAGCTCGCGCCGGCGGGGTCGTGACGCTGTGCGCTCGGGCTTCCGGCATGATTGCAGCCCAGTTCGCTTCACGCCCTCACTCCGTTGGGGCAGCCCGGTTCATGTGGTCGGGGAAGTCGGATATTGTTTTGTTCTTTGGCGGCTACCTGGTTACTGTAGTTCGTTGGAATGAAAAAGAGCAGTTGACTGATGATGGGTCCGTATTTTAATTGCATGAGTGTTTCAGTTCTAGCCCTTAACCCTTTGTGGCAATCGCGCAGGAGGTCTTCACGGGCAGCGGAATAAGTGCTGTATTTTGGAAGTTGTACGATCTACCGTTCCCGTAAATTTTGGTTGGTCATTATGGCCGATTTCCCGAAAATATCTCAGAGCTCTGGAATATAGTCAAGAGAATAAGATTTCTAGGTTTCTGATGTTTTAAGATTTTTTGCGAAATTTGCGGAAAAATAGAAACATGGGATGAAAATGGAGACAAAGGAATTAGTCGCCTAGAACACAAAGAAAAGGCCATCCGATGCCAAAACAAATAATCCCTCACTAAAGGAAGAAGGAAATAAGAAGAATTTTCCAAGTGATCGTCCCGGTGTATTTATGAAGTCCCTATTAATGTTATCATTTGACATCAGTACAGAGAATTTTTTTGTCCGCGTTTTAGATCCACGGTTTCGCAAAGAGGTACACTGTCATCTACTGTAGAGTACTGAACTGTACTTTACTGTACTTTAAGTCCTAGCCGCTGTCGTTACGTCGTTTGGGATATCCTTGGATTGCTCCTTTTGTTTCTTGGGAGAAATATGCATGTTTGTCATTTCTTGGTCATCCTGGCATGACGTGGAGTCTTGCAAATCTTCTCTCACGATTACCCGAAGGAGGATCATGACCTGAGGTTTACTGTACATGAGTCCACAGAGCTGTAGCTTCGGGGAGCCGCACTTTCAAAATGTCCGTTCGTTTCACCTTGTTGCTCGCATGAAAGAAATGCCGGCGAGAATGTGGACTGCCGAGACTCATGATTCGGTTTTACGATGTTTCGCCGAGTACTTAAAGCTTCCTTAAAGGAAGCCTCAGTATCAAATATCTAAATCGAATCCCAGCGAAAGGTACAATGGTTTCCACTTCAAGGTCCAACTGGCACGGTCGGCCGCCCGGTACGGTAGATATTTGGTCGGAGGACGTTTACAATGGCAGAGGTTCTCCATGTCTGTTCATATATGTTGTACCTTTTCAGGTCTCAAAAAACCAAAACGAATAAATTTGTCACTTCTCAGTTTGTGTGCTTTCATATCGGAATTTTGATTGATTCTTTTAGTCCTTCAAGGACGATAATAGAACATTCTTTGCATGCTCGTGAAATTATCAAAAATATTCATAAATATTCGTTGGATGCCTCCCGTTTCCATCACCGGCTGGTTGGGTTACCAGCCCGAAGGCTACGACGCCAAAAACTGAGGCGTAACAATCGCAATTTAAAAAACAGTAGAAGCAAAGAGAGTCGAGCAGACGTATCTATGATAAATCAAAATGAAAAAATCGTGATTTTGGAGTTATAAGAATGAGGAGTGGAAATATCCATCACCTTTCCCCGTGTTGCAGAACAGTTTTTTGGATTGTTGTTTCTCTTGTTGTTTGTTTCTTGTACTGGTTTCTATTGATACCATGGTTTCTTTTAACATGTTCATATTGAAAATATCACTTAGACCTTTCGTACCTTTAGAGAACCAATTTTATGTACTGTTAAATTTGGAATTTAATTTAAATTCAAGAAAAATTGGAGAAATAGCAAAAGAAGACGCTCGATATTTGTCCTTCAATTCTGCAATGTTATAAAGCAGAAACTTTTACATTATTTGTAATAACACGAAGTAATATTTTTTAAAGAAAACCTATCACATGCATAGGAAAAAAACTCCACCGAATCAATTTTCTTAAAGCATCAAAAATAAATTTAACTTTAAATAAGAAATTTGAACAATAAATTTGTTCAATGAATGTACTTATGACGTTTATTACATTCTATGAGTTATGAATTCAACTCACATAAAAGGTATAAATATTGCAATATTGCATTGCAACATCAATAATAATGAAAGAACTGAAGCGTAAATTTTGTATTTGAAATATAATTTTCAAATTCATAGAGTATGAGATTGTTTTTTATTTATTTAATAATAAGATAAAAAAATCAAATTCAACAAATAAAATTTATTATTATTGATGTGTGTTAGATGTATAAAACATATTCAACTTCAAAAATAATATTATTCTAAAAAATTTCATGTTGTTAATCCTATCATTCAAAAATCAAGAATTTTATATATTAATATAAATTTGAAATCTCTTTCATAGATTTGAGAAAATATTTAACATCATGACATGATCACTTATGTCAAATCATCAATAATTTTTGGATTGTGCTCAAAATTTATTCATTTTGAGAGTAAAAAAAATATTTGTATTGAATTTTTTAAGATAAATGAAATAATTTTTTATTTATAATTAATTTAATCTTAATTAACTCAGAATAATATATGAAACGATTTTCATGTATTTTTATGTTTACATGTAATGAATTGAAAAATTGTAAAAAAAAAATATTGAATATATAAAAGATATATATATATACATAATATTTGCAAACAAAAATTATAATATTTTCTTATCTCAAAAAATTTCAAAAGCTTAAAATAATTTTAATATAGAAATAAACAAGATTGAAGCAAATAAAATAAATTAAATCACACATAACACAAATTTACAAAAAAGCAAAATGAAAATACATGAAAAAAATTTGCAAATATATCACATACACACTTTTTATTTTACATGAAAAAAAAATTTAAGATCTATTTGAACAATTAAAAATTTGCAAATTAAAAAATTGATTTGTAATATGATTTTTTTAATAAATATCACTCATACATAGTCAACACAATCAATACATGATTCAATTAAACAAGATTATATGCAAAAATTTACTTTCTACAATTTAATTTGTGGCATTTAAATAGATGACTTGTTATTGTCAAAAATTAAAAAAAAAACAAAACAAAAAGTCACGAGCATACATAGAAAAACTCACATTTCTAAACTCCAACACGAGCATACAAAGAAACGCCGACAAGATGATATGTGGTTTGTCATTGTAAGCTATATCAAACAAAATTTAGAAAGGTTTAATTGAAGAAATTCTAAAAATACAATTGAAAGATTTGGATAGGAATCCTTTATGGTGCAATCATAATCTAAATTCTAATTACTATTAAACTACATAAGTTGAAAACAAAAATGAGTTAATCTTTTATAATTTTCCACTTAACTCATGTCGTGATAATATCAATATCTTCAATGAAATTAAACATTTTTATAATCCCTAGCTAATTAAAATAAAGTTGTAGTCAAAATTTAATAGAATAATTTGAAAGAGTAAAAATTTATATATAGATGTAAAAAACTTACCAATAATCTTTTCTTGTGCTCCACATGAAATATTTTCAAATTAGCACAATGTTTGTTAATTTTTTTCAAAGGAATAATCTTCATAAATGTAGATTAAATTTACCGTCAATCTTAAGTAGGTTAATATTTCTATCAAAAAATTTATCTTTGATAAATAATAAAATATGATGTCACTTAAAACTTAGCTTTCATTGTAGATTGAATTATGCATTTTGATAAAGCAGATTTTCAACTAATGTATTCATCACGATTGTGTACATTTATAACCAGATGTAAAATTTCACTTGTCTGGCATTTACATAGCCTAGAAAATATTTGATATTGTCTAATAAGCCATCAAATCAAATATTATAATTTTCAATATTTTTCATGTGCATAAAAATCTATTTCACAAATTTTAAATGCAACTTCCTTGGTTTTGACATGTACAAGCTCAACTCACTCATAACTAATGCAATATCATGTTTTGTGCACATCATAATATACATAGATTGTTCACAACTTTGTCATAAAAAATTGATTACATTGATGAACTCTCCATGATATTGATTGATTATTGAGCTACAAAAAGTTTAAAGTGAATTGTCACAGGAATACATACTACTTAAAAATCAACTATGTTAAATATGTCAAGCACAAGTACTTGAGTTGACTCAACCATGATTTCCTTTTTTCCAAATTTTCTAAACATTGCTCTTTAGTATATTGTTTGACAAACTCACATCTTTTATCTTAGATGCGAACTCCAATAAATCTTTTCATTTATAAATATTAAATCTATTCCCTGCAAAAATAAATATGTAAGATAGGTAAAGTACTAGAATAATAAAATCAAAGCTCTTATTATTCATCTTATTCATATATACATATAGATTATGCACATTTTGTGATAGTGTTTTTACTTTCATCAACTTATCAAATCTTACATTTCACGTTATGTGAATTTGTCCAAATTCTTAAAAAAATATTGTAAGTACATACATATAATCCATAACATTACTATATATTATAATAATTACATGTCCAAGTCAAATTGTATGATTCTTTATTACAAATAAAAAAAATATAAGTCTACATTTATCTCTTGTGTGAAACTTTTAGCCATCAACTTGATGTTGAAAATTGTTTCTTGTCATTACTTCATTGTACTTTAACTTATACATTCATTTGTTATCAATGAAAGATTGATTAATTTGAAGCTCTATCAAATTTCACGTCTTCTAGTCCATTAGCAACTTCATCTCACTTGACATAGCTATATTTCATTTAAGTTTATAAACAAATATATGATAGTCGATGATATCAACGTTCAACTTCTACTTACATCAATATTACGTCATTCTTATTTCATCATGATCTTAAAAAATGAATGATCATTCTATAATATATATATATTAATCCAATATCATGATCTTTTAATAGAAGACTTTTGCTAGATTTTATTGTCAAATGCAACCACTTTTTTAAAATGTTTGCGATAAAAAACATAAATAGT